AAACATCTTTGCATGTAGGAGACAAGTATCCGCACGAAAATTGATGTTCGCTAATTCGCTTTGTTGTCGAGCAACTTTCTTAAGCTGGAAAAAATAGTTACACTAGTGTTAGTTTGGGGGGACTTTAGCTTAAACTTAGTGTTCAGTTGAAGGTGTAGGATAAAATGTGCCCTCACTGATCAGACTTCATTTTCGGACAGTATGGTGACAAAATTGATTGGAATAATGGGCAGTTCAGTTACCACCACGGCAACAACAGAGACAAAAGCGCCACTTAAAAAAAACCACCCTCCTTCTTTTAAATTACTTTTTATTTTAATATTTTTCATTATGCATAATTTGTTTCTTGTTACTGAGGTTTCACTCGAGTTTAAAGTTCATAGGTAGGAAACTGTCATGTCTTCGTGTTCTCCAAAAAAACGTAAATTTGATCATTTTGACGTTGTTTATTGGCAAAGACTGGCGTGTGAAGAAATATGAAAAAAGCACGAGCAGAGGCACTTTTTCCCTATCAATCCTATCATAGTTAATTAGCCTTTGTCACTTGGCGGCCATGTCGAGTCCATGGGAATAAAAAGCTTTGTTTTTGCAAAGCAAACCTCTCTCTGAATTCGCGTCTGGCCGAGGCTTGTTGTGCAAAAACAAAGCTATTTATTCTTGAGTCAACAAATATCCCCACGTTAAAAGGTCTCTAATAATCCTGCCGATAACTGGTTACCCGTTTTCATGTAAAGCCGTTTCTTTGAAAGTATCGGCAAACCGTCGACACTTGAAAACGGTTTCCGAATACAGTCATAATTTCTCTTACAATCTCAGTCAGTGTCTTCTCTGGGTGCTCTAGCATAGCTTCCATCATCACGAGCGCCTCACGCGGGTACATTCCTACCAGATCCAAAGGTCTTCCAGTTTTCTTGGCCACAACTTCACCTGTGCGCACAAATTTTTTTGAATCTCTTTACCGAGATTGGTGACATTGCCAGCATACTGGATGTATCCTCAATTTTATAACCAAGGAACACATGAAGCCATACAGCTCTTAAACGTAAATCGTCCGAGTATGCTTTGGGCATACTTTTTTTTTCCAGCAATGTATTTTTTATTGCAAAGAATAAGAATAGTAAATTATTGATTATCATGATGGAAATGAGGTTATTGTTTAAACACTACCCACAAATCCGTCGGGTCTCATCGTTCACGGTTTATGCTTTCAAGGTGTCAACGTTTTTGCAATCGAGTGTATACTTGGATGTGTGTAGATAACAATATAATACATGTACAACCTACAGTTTTCAAGTAAGTATTTTAACGTCTTTGTATCCTACTGTTATCTTAAATTGAGTATTTTTAATCCACTATTGATTTTTGTTAATTCGCATTCTTTTTATTTGCAGTTAAAATCTAAAGTTCACTTCCTGCACAAGTATTCATCCAACCTATAATTTCAAACGTAAGTATTTTACATTATTTCAATCCTACTGCTTTTATATTACTAATTTCATTGTCCTAGGTTTTTAACATGACATGAACACCTACACCTCTACCAATCAAAGTTTTTGCCTGCACTCCTTTGTGCATTAAGTCTTAATGTCAATTCCCTCATATAGATAAACCATTAAAAAGATAAGCCATTGAACCAGAAAATCGATGAATGCAGATGTGGCCATAAGATGTTTTTTTTTACATGAAAAAAGAAACACATTGATCTTATCCGAATGATTTACTTTTCTTATCCACTTGTGAATCTTTTTCAATGTTGCTTTTAATTTATTTGTAGTTCCACTTCAAGGGCCACAGAATTTGTTATTTCAGTAATGGAGTTTGAAGAACGTGCTGATACGTCAGGTAAGCAATCTACTGATCTACAATCACTCTAAACAAGTTTAAAGAGCAAACAAACAATAAGAATGCTATGGATACATTTAGTATTAGTATTACAATAAGAGTCACTTTTTGAAAGTATGGTTAATATGTGCATAATTTTCTACTGTCATAGGTTGCTCAGAGGAGATTGATGAAAAAGAAGACCCTCTCAGGTACATTTGAAATATGACCCTAATGATGACCAGTGAGTCAAAAAAGTATTTTAACTGCCACATTCACACAAAAAATCAGAAGAAAAGGGCAGTCTGCTTCTCACCTGAAAAGAAAAGTCAAATGACTAGACTTCAAGAGCAGAAATTCCCAGTAAAGATATCCAAATTCAAGATAAACTGGAATTCACTGACAAGACATTGTCATCAACCAGGATACCAATATCTTGCACACAACACTAAGTGACAAGAATGCTTTTGTTCCTGTAACTGTTCCAACAGACTCCATCATGTCCCTGGACTCCCTGACAAATGCTGTCCCAGAACAGCCTATCACAATAATGGTCAAATTGTTCAACCTATCCCAACCCAAGAAGATCATAACTCGCAACAAAACAGAACTTACCAAACAGGATGGAACACCTATGGACCCAACAGGACAAATCAACATTGTTCTTTGGCAGGACTAAGTTGATTCCAATCAAGAAGGGCAAACTTACATCTTCAAGCACATCAAAGTAAAAGACAACCGGTATGGTGAGAGATATGTTAATTCTCCAAAAGACACCAGCAACTTCTCAGCAAACCGTTGCACCTGAACACAAGGATGCTTTACCTGAAGTAAATGTATTGCCTGACACGATCAATCAGATTGATGCAGTAATTTGTGGAGTGAAGGAGATATCCTGTTTTAAAGCCTGTTTTTCTTGTAATTCAAATATTACAGGAAAAAATGGCCAAGGAAACTGCACAAGATGCTGAATGACAGTGAAACTTCAATTGTGTAAAAGTCAGTGCTACATGAGATTATAATTCATGAAAATACCAGACATTAATATTATGCAGCTGTCTATTTTCAGTGCGGAAACAGCCATTTTAGTGGCATTAATGAATGTCAGTATTGATAACTGCCGTTGTGATGACCTTGCTGAACACTTGTTTAAGCTCAATACATTAGTTGTTACTTATGACTCAGCCAGCCAATAAGCTTCTTAATGTAATGTATCTTAATATGTTTCTTTCAATATACCATGTTTTTTAAGAGCAAAAAATGTATGTTATGCAAACTTTTATCAAAGTACACAAACTTTTAGACTTTGATTCTTAGAATCTTTAACAATAGACATGTATATTTCTAAAAACCACATTGCTGTAATTCCGGTTGTTTATCTTTCTAATGCATTCTCGCAACACTCACCTTTCTAATAGAAATTACTAGTCATATAAACACAATAGCCCTTTACTGAGAGGAAAATCTAGCTTCATTACTGAATGAAAATAAATGAATCAACAATCCCTGAATAACAACTGTTGAGTGTGTTGCCGCTAACTCTTACGATGGAAAAATGCATTGAATCATGATTACAAAAACAACAATGGTCATCATCTTCAATTTACAAAATTCTCATTTATTGATTTGTCATTAACAACAGAAGTCTTTCTGGTAAACAGCCAAAATTGAACCAGTGGCAAATCTTCCAGCTGTCGATTTTTATTCTCAGCTGAAAGAAATGCTAACACCAAAGCCACTGAATATGTAACTTTTTTGGTATATTGGTTTTCTTCACTTTCTAGGAAAGTTTGAACCTCACTGTCTGTCAGCGATACAGATTTTTTTTTGTGTTTTAGCCGCCATAATTCAAACAAAATACAAAGAACTCCTATTTAGAATGGTGAAGGCTTTGCTGTTCATTCATCAACCTGATCAAGTGGCGCCAAAGGCGAGTTACATGTCAGCAACTGATTTGCTACATCAACACACATGAAGAAATACAATATTTTTTCACGTGTGTTGTTATGGTTTTTCTCAGGGCGGGAAATCCCTGTATAACACTGCCGTTTATGTGATAAAATATTTTCCACAATATTTGATTCGAGCAATGTTTAAAACACCCTTTTAAGTTATGCTACCTATCAGAGTCCGAGTAGTTAGGGAGCCCTTTTTGATTTTACAGTTGATGAAAAATTGCCATAGAAAAGGGTGATGAAGATACAATCAAGATGTTAATATTCATAGAAAATCTCAATTGAGCATGTCAAAAGCTACTATTTTTTAACTCCAAGATCTGATCAATAAGAGAGACAGATTTTCTACAAATGGCACATTCTTATAATGCCATATTTCACTGCTCTATCAGAAATAAATGACTCAGAGCTCAAAAGCTCTCCCATGAGGAAAATTTGCAATTAGAGGTGACTCTCTCTTTTGTAGCTTTTCAGCCTAGTTGTTTGAGAGCCTAATTACCTTGTATGGCAGGTGACCTGACAAGTGTGGACAAGCTTGAAGAACTTCTTCCAGTAAAAATTATATCATAAGATTAAGAGTGAAGACAGAGCTCATCACAAAGTGAGTAGAGAGTATCAATAAATTTGTAACAGATTTGAAAACATGATTTTCCTTATTATTAGTTAACCTGACTACAAATTGAACAAAAGAGTCCTACCTTCCCTTCATTCAATAAGATTATTTCCACAACATTCATTAGCAGATGCTACAAATGATTATCAAAATGGGGCAGTTTATGTTCTTCAGAAAATATTTCCCTGACTACTTGGTCATGAAACCATAAAGTTTTATTTTCAGCATGAGAAGTTAAAGTGGAGAAGTGCCAACCAGATTTGGGCCAGCACCTTTAGGAGGATATCTAAACCATCACATGGTACCCTGTGAAGCTTTAGGGAACTCCAAAGTTACAAGCAAGGTTGACTAGTCCAAGCAATGCACCAATAACACTGTACATATGACAAGTTATCCTCCTTTCCTAACATATGTAGTTTTCCCCTCTTCATTGTCACACAATTCTCTTTAGAACAGCAAGAAAGGAATGAGTACCAGATGATCAGTGAACAAGAAGCAAATACACTTGCATCTTAATAGCCAGAGGTGGAGTGTAAGGAGATCCAGACTAACACCTTTGACATTAAGAGACATTTTAGGCTAAAAAGTAATCAGTAGTGTCTTTTTGGAGTCCCTTGTCCCAACCCAGAACGGGAAATGATAAAAGAAGTTATCACGTTATGTAGCAACAAGTGCAGCTGGTGAAAGATCCTTTTCGACTGCCCGGAGGCTAAAAACATGGCTCCATTCAAGAATGAACCAAGAACAATTTATTAACCTGACAGTTTTAAACATACACAAAGAAAGAACGGACAGGCTTTCCACCATTGACATAGCAAACGAATTTACTAACCGCAACAAAACAGAAAGCGTAATTTTGGCAATTTTCAAGTAAATGACGTACAGTAACTTTAATATCATTCACTAAATTATTTTCAGTTACCGTTTTGTTTTGCCGTGCAAATATTTTGAATGAATAATTAAACATTTATTGAACTCGGCTTTCGTATGATATGAAGATATACAGATCTCGGAGGGTGTTATCCACTCGGCTCAAGCCTTCGGCTTTGGCTGATAACCCCTCGATCTGCATAACTCTTCATATCATACTCAGCCTCATGCAATAATTGTTCAGTAATTATACAGCCTTGTGTTCAAGGCAGCTCAAGCAAAATCGTTGGATTTCTGGCTTATTTATAGTAATAAAAGGTTGATATCAGTAGTATAACATAACAATCTATGATATTTCAATTTAGTGATGGTGAATTTCCAGACCCGATAGCAACATCACTAAAAGTGATATATATTAAATTACAGTAATAATAAAATAAAACATTATGGGTGCTGTTTCATGCTATCAACTTTTTGCTAACAAAATGAAAACATTTCCAGCTTTTAATTACTTTCAGTCATCTTAGTTTATTTTCCTGCTATAAGTTGCTCTGTGTCAGACTATTTTAATTCGACAAGAATACACTCAATGATAGAGATTCATCATTAAATGTATTCTTTCCATGTTTGCAAATCACCTTCTGATACAAAACCTAAGTTATCCAGAGGATTTAGCTTCCAGGAGTTGGGATGAAAGTGTAATGAACAATATTTAAAACACATCAATTCCCTCATTGTTTCCTTGTTTTTATTTTTTACAAATATATTTAAGATTTAAAAACTTAACTGCATTAACACCTCTTCCACCTCCTAAAATGTCAACCTTGCCAAGGCTATAGTTTTCTCTAATGTTGACATTAATTTGCCTAAAATTTCTATTGTTTTTGTTGAATCAAATCACCTGTTGTTGATAATAAAACCTGTTGAAGCTCACCTTGTGATTCTCACTTTACATATATTTTATCAATAAAATCTTAATAATCTCTTAAAGGTTCTTAGGAGATCTTCATAAGTTCTTGCAAGATATCATAGCTTTCAATACTAGTTAAGATTTGACTATGAAATCTTGCAAGCTCTTTCTGACACTTGAATCATCTTTTTCCCAATTTCAGATCTTTCAAACACTGCTTATAAACTCCTTTACTCTCTTACCAATCCACACCCACCATCATACAGCGAAGTACTGGATGAGATGTCAGTTTTCTCCCATGGTTGTAATCTAAATTTGTCTTTCAACATTTCTGTCTCTCCAAACCACCAGTAGCATCAAGAACACTATGTAAGTTGCTATCAAATTGTTGCTTTTCACATGCCACCATTGGAACTACATCACCACCATTTTCTACCACAACAACACACCACCTCTTTTGAAATGTTGACCAAACAATAATGGTTGTTCCTGTTTAAGATAACAAGTTCATTGACATTTGCTTGATTGGTATTCACATCACTTTTCAGAGAGAGAGAGAGAGAGAGAGCAAGCATTTCAACAGGCAGATGATGGCCTAGCAATTAGAGGTCTCCTCCAACGCATTTGGGAGAGTCATATTAGGATCGTATGAAATGCAATGGAAACTCTGTACTGTTTGCAGATCAGCGAGTTGGCATTGGTGAGTTGAACCGTCAGTGACTTGACTCTAATTTGGTTTGACTTGCAGCTGAATTTCAACGTCCACATTATGAAAACATGCAACCTATCTTTTTGTTCACTACACAAAATAAGATGCACTAGAAAGTATCTTTCATACAAGAATGCACAAACATTAATCTTAGCACTGGTAATTGAATGCCTAAACTACCATGACAGTCTGCTGTATGGCTCACCAGCCAGTTATACTAACAAATTGCAATGGGTTCAAAACGCTGCCACAAGGCTCATCTTCAATACCACGCATTTTGATCACATTTCTCCTATTTTGATATACTTGCACTGGCTACCAGTTAAATACTGTAGAATGTCTAAACTGGCTGTATACACATTTAAAGCAATACATAGTAGTGCTCCATCATATATTCATCAATTAATTGGACTTAAGCCATAGTCAAGTTATAACCTGCAATCAAACACTTACTACTTGATCTGCCCAACAAGACCAAGAAGATAACAGGAGACAGGGTGTTTTTTGCAGTCACGCCAACCCTGTGGAATGTTGTGTTATGTTACAATTACACGTGATCACTAGAGGCTAGATACAGCATGAACAATTGACAATAAGACATTGATTGAGAGTCACGTGGTTA